GACAGTGTGCGTGTAGGGTGTGTGTGTGTTGGGGGTGTCGGGATTGCGGACGTGGGTCGGCGCGATTGGTAGCAGGGTTCATTTTTTGACGTGGCCCGTGGCCCGCGGTCGTCGTCCGCGAAGTAGCTGTGTAGAGCGGACGGATGCAGGGTCGTCGGTGATGACTTCGTTTGCTGTGTTTGTCGTGTGGAGGGTTCCGTGGTTCGCACGTACCCTGGTGTCAGTCGCTTTAATTTTTTTTCTTTTTCTTCTTTTTCATTGGATTGAGCTTCCAGCTGCAATTTGTATGTTGTTATTTTGTGTCGTCGGTGACTCACTCGACTGCATTGCTATCATGCGGTGGGAATTGCTATTTGTTTGGCTCCTCAGTTTTATGTGTTTCATGAAATCTTGTTCGTTTAAGGACGAGTCTTTTTTTTTTTTTCTTGCAATGTTTTTGTAAAATTTTTTGTTTGTCTCAATTATTACGTCGTCAGTTCGTCTGTCACGATCTTTTTCGTGTGTTGTTGGTCGACCTCATACAACAATCTTTTTCGTCAGTTCATCTGTCACGATCTTTTTTGTGAGCTTCACAAAATGCTGTCGAAAACATTGATGATAGTTGGTCGACCTCATACAAGGAATACAAAGCGCATTTCAGGGACGCCGTCTTTGGTTGTGTGCATGCATGCGAGGCAAACATCTTTTGATCATCCATCGCAGAGAGGATAACAATGGTGTGAAGGTGCAGGGCAGACAAACAAAGAAGACTAAAGAAAAGATGCGTTGAAAGCGCTTTCGAATTGCTTGTCGATCGAACTGCGAGGATAAACACAAAACACAATGAGCAGACAAACAAAGAAGACAAAAGAAAAGGTGCGCTGAAAGCGCTTATGATTTGCTTGTCGATCCAACTAGGATGATAAACAAAAAACACACGAGTGTCTTTAACGTACCCGTCGTCGACTATGACGACCTGCACACTACATATCTGCACTAAACATTGCACCCACGAAATCAACCAATCAACCGGGTTTCGCCGCACTACCGACGCGCTAAGACCCCCCCCCTCCGCGGTGACGAAAACGCTATAAAGTCGCGCGCATGCAAAGAGGCAGTTCCATGACCGGCCACGTGTCCACTCGCCCGCGTTCACACAACAGCAAGCCCCCCCGGATACCTACCCACTCACCCGCCCAGTCGTACTGCCCACCTCCCCCCCCTCTACTCGTCACCCTTGCCGTCGTCGTCGTTGTCATCATCAGCGGGCCCCGAACCCAACCAATCGAGCTTCTTAGCTTCCTCCGGCCCGTCGATCCTTGCGTCCTGTCCGAACACAATGCCACGGTCTGCCCATCGAGAAAGGTAGTCGGGGTGCTCTCCAAACGTGGCGTTTGCCTTCCTGAGCCTTTCCGTGACGGCTTTCACGGCGAGGCCAACGGATCGACGATGGTCGAACGACCGATGCATGGACTCCACGAGTGTGGGCTTCGACACCAGCGTCGTGAAGTAGAAAGCTTCGAAGTGGCTGCGCGGATCGTCTCCCGCCATGCGCATTATCCACATGCACGCCGCCAATTACAGTCTAAAGCAGTCAGCCATCCGGCAAAGACGATCGTGCGAGATGAACTCGCCGTCGATAACCGCCCCCATTTGCACCGCCGCCCGGAACGCATCCACGACGCAGATGATGGTGGACTCCTGGTACGCCGCCATGTCATCGCCGTCCGGTCTGTTCTCGACCTTCACGCCCGCGAACCACAACGGCAAGTCCATGGAGAGATCTATTGTGTGTGCGCAAACCGCAGGGCTGACGACGTTGCACCACTCCTCATCGTACCACATAGCTCGCGCTATGTCCGTCACCACGGACTCCAGCGCGTACTGGAAAGCAAGATTGTAACCCCTCGGGCGGTTCCCGGACTTGAAAACCCAGCCGTGCAATACGCGGAGAGCGATGTTCTCCACTGCTGACGCACGGGAGGTCGCTTGTTGCAGCTGCGATGGGTCGGCGATCTTGGCTATCCGCGTGCTGGATTTGGGTATCACAACGCTCCGAGGGATCGCAGGCAGTGGAAGTCCGCTGGCGATGGAGACGAAGTACTCTCTTGTCTCCTGTACGATGTTGTAGAGTCTTCACCCCTCCCCCGTCGTCCAGAAAGGTTTGTCATCGACCCAAAGGAAGGCACGGTCGACGAGGTCTTTTGTCAACACTCCCCTACGCGGCCTGTTCGAACCAGCTTCGCCGCCCTCCCTATCACTCCTCTTCTCTCCACGCTCGTCGTCCCTCGCCATCGCCACAACTGCTCCCTCCTCTCTCGCCGCCGCAACTGGGGGCGCACTGCCTGAAACACCCGCAACCGCGCCCGCCGCACCTGCCACCTCAACCCCAACTGCGCCCGTGTGCACCGCGACTACCCCACCGCCGCCTCGTTGGACGGACCCTCCTTCAGCAGCCGTGTTGCGAGGACGTGGCGCAGCCGTGGTGGCGGGCAGCCTACCCATGACTGTCGTTTCTCCAGCGAGAGTGTGGCCTGAAGCCGCCGGCGGCGGGGTGGCAGCTGTGCGACTGCGCAGGCGGCGTCTTTCCAAGGGCTCGTTATCGTCGTCACCAAGCTCGTCGACTTCAGCGTCGTAAGTCCGCCTGTCGCGGGCGCGCACTTGCTTCTTCTCGGGTGGAGGGGTCATCAGCCTTTTCGAAGCGCTGTGATCAGATTGTCGTTTCCCTCCACTCTCCCGAACTCCCGACGCAGTCGCATGTGCCTGATCTTCGTCAGTCGCGAAGTCGTCGTCGTAGTCGCCCCCCGCTTCTGCCGCCCAACCTTGCGCTCCTCCAAGAGGGACCCTTGTTGACGCATCGTCCGACCGCAGCCTCTTCGCCTTCGGGACATGCCTCCGAGCTTTTCCAGTCACTTGGTTGTCGTCAGGCAGTCCTTCGCGCTTCTTCCCACGGCCCGTCCCTCGCGCAGTTGGGGACGACAGTCGTGCGACTTCGGGTGCGCAGATTTGAAGTGATCTGATCGCGGTGGACCACCCGCGACGCAGCATCCCACTTCGCTGGAAACTGCATTGCCAAGGGTGGCACGCGCGACCACCCAGGCTATACGTGGCGTGTCATTTCGCTCTTCCGCGACGCGCGAAATGACCCTTCTGCATCCCTGGTGTCGCGCGTCACATCACTCGCCAGGGAGCAAAATGAAGACCAAGCACCACCCGCCCTGCACATCAAAAATAAACCCCCTTACCGATCGCTATGACCCACGTCCGCAATCCCTACCCCCAAACAACCCCCAAACACCACCCCCGCCAACCCCAACACACACACACACACACACACACACACACACACACACGCACACACACACACACACACACACACACACACACACACACACACATACACACACGCGCGCACACACACACACACACACACACACACACCGTGCGCCTTCATGAAACAAAAGAAAAAAAAGAAAAAAAAGAAAAGTTTAAAAATATTCACAACTGAACACTCGGATGGGACACCAAGGACCACTACATCGTCGTCCGACCACGGATGGCCACAACGATTTCCATAAGCGCGTGGCACATCATCCTCTGCGTTTTATTGGACGCCGCGTAGTGCTCTTTCTGGACTGCTACTTCCTGCTCCAGTATGTCACATTGCCTCGTGAAAATGCTGCATTGCCGCTTGCTGGAGGATTCGATCGTCGACGACATCAGCTCGCCATGTCGATCCATGACATCGGCGATCGACTCCAACGCCTGTTGAYGTRCATTCTTCYGCTTGMCGCCTYCAGCCCCGCTGCCTGCGTTGTTCTCGGACTCCCGCGCAGAAGAACGTTCCTCGGGGAAGCCTTCACCACCAGCCTCACTACCAACCGACTCACCACCGCCACCTCCTCGCCTGGAAGCTGCACCCCGTCAGAATTTCCTGTGTCGACGATGTTCGGAGGAAAAATTGTATGGTTGCCCAGCATGCCAGCAAATCTCGTTCTACAGCGCTCTCTCCATCCGAAACTTGAAATTGTGCTGCTTCCTTTCTTCATTCTTAAGGCCGAAGAAATCAGGACGACCGCTTGCGTTCTGAAACCTTTGTATCTTCTTGTAGTTTTGGAACAGATTGTCCCACTTCTTCATGCAGTCGTCCGCGTCTTTCGGTTTCCCCGCGCTCACCATGCGCTTTGCAATGTCGTCCCACTTCCACTCCTTCGTCCGCATCTGCCTGTAGTTGTGGCCCATCCCGGCGAGGTGCATCTCTTGCTCCCGCTTGCATCTCACTAGTTGCAGTTGTTCCTCCGGAAACCAGTACGTCACAGACTTCCCGGCATCTTCGCTGACACAGCCTCTGTCGCCACGGTCAACGGATCGACCACGAACAGCACCCCTGCTGCGTGGTCTCCCCCTCCCACCCGTCTTCCCCAACGGCCGAACAGGAATGTCTTCGTCGTCGTCCCCTGCGTCCACGTCCTCCGTCAATCGCTCGTCAGCATCGTCGCCGCCAAAACAGTCATCGTCGTCGCCATCACTGTGTGCCCGTATGTTCGACACACCTCGTGTGATGTTCTCCACAGTGGGTACTGGACGCACCAGCAGTCTGGATGCACCCGCGTCCCTGACGTCGGATTGGGTCGGTGTTGTGCGTTCGGGCATCGAAGGACGTGCACAGTCGATGCACGGTGACCCGACTGTGGCTCCGTTGTGTGCAGGCCAGTTACTTGTCGATCGATCGGCGAATGGTGCTGTGGAGCCTAGACGCCGGAGCACTGCAGATGGCTGGCAGCGATGGACGCACGGGCACGAAGGGTGGTTTGATCCGTACACTGACTCCCACCCCGTTCCACCCCACGTGGCGAACGATCGATGTCGATGATCAACGTACGGCTCGCCTCCTTGGACCCGCCAGAACACAAGCCGAACCTGAGATCAAGTCCTCCGTCGTCATCGTCTCCCAAGCCTTGCTGCGGCAAAGACGTGTACTCGCCGCCTTCGTTGAAACCCGAACCGCCTGCTCGCACCGTCTGCGACCAAAGATGCGTCCAGCCGCTGGCAAGAGGCAACGTCGGTAGTTCTTCCGTCTCGGGCTCCTCGTCCGACAGGGGCAGTGGCGTCTCCCACGACTGCAAATGGGCGTACATGGATGGGTCGTAGCGCCGTCGAGGCTCCGCCATCGCAGGTCGTCTTCCGCCCTCATCTGCACCAACACCCACGCGTCCCTGCATGCCCGCCATTGTACGCTCTCCTGCCGACCGTTTCGTCGATGCCCTCCTCTTGCGATGTTGTTTCCACGGGCGCCACGACAAACACACGTGGAGGAAGACGACAAGTAGGAAGACGACGACAACGAGCACCAGCAGAGGCAATCTCCTCCCCACGTCAGCCATCAAATTCACCACCAACCCCAACTGCGCACGTGCTACTGCACCACACTGCTATAACATGAGGGGGGAGTCGCGCCCGGTGGACCTTCATATGCTGACAACAGCCAGAGAAGACAACGAAGGTGGCAGCATGCAATTCAAAAAACGATAGTTGCCGCCACGACTTGGAGCCCGCGCCACCGTGCGTCGTGGAGGGACCGACGTCGTCCTCCATCGTCGCTAGCAACTTCGAGACAACGGTCCACTACGGTCGGCAGCCCGCAGATGGTCGCCAGACCCCCCAGCCCCACCCCCACCGCCCCGCTCATCACCGGCTGCCAACGGCTACCACCGCTGGCCGTTGCCGGCCTCGACCTGCTCCAAAACTTCGATGTCCGATCGCCCACCCGACGGACCGTTACTGGACCAGCAACCCTGTGGCGACGGTGCCATGCGCGCGACGCACCGACTCCGTGATAATCGGGAATCCTAAATTTTTCAGTAGCTCCGGGGCTACTGGAAAATTTAGGACGATTTGCCTGGGGAATCCTTAAACTCTTAGGACGAGTCGTAACGCCGTTTTCACATTTTCGATTCCCGTGGCCGATTTAGGATTGCGTGCAACCAACACGCAATCCTAAAAACAGGAACTTTTAGGAGTGTCTAACGAGCCCCTAACCTGGTAACAACTTAGCCTGTTGGTCTCTTGCCCTAGCTCTATGTTCTCAGACTAATAGTCCAAAAAATATTAACTCTTAAGCCTCGAAAAAGGTGCATCTGCTACCAGATTATCCTCCTTTAAGCCCTCATATTTAACTGCAGTTAATATGAACCATTTAAAGGAAGGACCCCTTTTGTAACCTTCTGCTTAATCACACGTGTCTGAGAGCCACTTACATATAATCATTTTACCTTCCTGGTTTACTGAGGCCAACCTATTACCTCTAGCCCAGGTTCTTTGGAACCAGATTAGATTTTTCTTTTGCCAGTCAGCTCTCATTATCAACCTGATGTTTTTCTTGATAAGTCTCTGTTGTTGACAGGTAGGTAGAGTCTCACCACGGAAAACTTTTGCGTTTCTTGCCGTCCAGATTACGTCCATGATTACCCCTCTACATGCGAGCGCCAGGTAGCCTAGTTCTGAGGAGTAGCTAAGTCCTATAGGGAGGAGGCCTGTTAGCATCCAAAGATCTGACCAATCAAACGCACCTCCCGAAATGTGTAGCCAGTGCCTTTTCCACCACATAAGCAGTTCATCTGCTAATGGGCAGAGAATCCACAGATGCGCCATGCTTTCCCACCCCCAGTTGCATCTCAGATAGGTGGTGGAGACATCCATTCCTTTGGTGTATAGCCAGATTGGAGTAGCAGTTACAAACAAGGATTGTATCCACATTATGCTGGCATGCTTCTGTACTGGGGTTAAGGTAAGCTCTTTCCAGAAACATCTGAGTTTGTATTCCGTGACCCCCTCGAGGGAGTGGCCCCGTGCTCGACTGACCGCCAGTGCCTCTGGGGTCCTAGTCAACTGTGCTTGTTGTACTTGAACTCCAATTTTGCTGCAGTACTGCATCAATGGGACGAAAGACGATGCCGCTGAGTCAGACGAAGAAGAGTCCTGGATTGTCCATCCTATCTGCAGAGGTTCGACTTTGTATGAAGCTGTGTCTCTTCCTAGTATCGTCGTTTTCTTGTTATGCCTCGCTTCTTGTAGAGAGATCCGAACCTCTGTCAGACCCTCAGAGGTTTCAAGATGTATATCTTCCTCCTCCAGCCTCAGGCGTCCCTCCTTTCCAGTAGTCCCAAATTGTTTCCATTTCTGAACTCTCAAACCGGATACCAGGTTCGGGCCCAAGACCCGATAGATGCAGTTGGGTTCGCCTGCTGCACGAAGCCAGGTACCTTCTACGTCCTCTGTTTCCCTCTGTAACAGGCCATGTCAATGATGAGGCATAGCTTGTATTAAGTTCCCCAGATACTCTGCAACTCTATGGGCTCTCGAAAGCTTGCGCCTAAGCTGTGCTGTTGATGTCCGGGTCTGTTTACTGTGGTCCCATATGTCTCTCACCTGAAGGATGCCCTTTTTAATCCAAGATGTACCAAAGTTGCCCACTGCTACTGTAGCCGAGGATTGTCAAACAGTACTTGATTGAGGACTTCCTCTTTCGTGGAGGGAGGTAGCCTCTTATTTGGCCTTATCTTGTTCCATGCCCCCATTATACGTCTCCAGAGAGGGGAACTCGGTCTCCGGTTGCTGAAGGACGGCAGCAGAATACATTGCCATACCCTGGTATGGTATCGGAGTTCCCATTCTTTACGAAGAATGTATTCAACCATATGCATCCAAAGCTTCGACCCTGCCTCCATCATTGCTTGAACAGGCCATTTGGCCAGCAGGGCGACATTCTGTTGTCTGGGATCCAGCAGCCCCAAACCCCCTTTTTTTTCTCGGAGTGGCTACCACCTCCCAAGCCACTTTGGATAAGAAGCCTTGATCTGAGGTGGCGTCCGGTTTCCAAAGATACCTGCCTGCTGCTCTCTTGATTTGCTTGTATGCCTCTCCAAGATAATGAATACACAGAGGGAACCATAACAGTGAGAAGGCTGACGACGACAGAACCAGGGCTCTCCCGAAGAGCAAAAGATGAGTCCTCCTCTCCCAGCCAGCAATCCTTGATATAAACCTTGTCTGATAAGATATTATCTTGCACCCTGGAGCAATTAGACAAGGATACTTGGACACCCAAAAACCTATCCGCTGCATTTGCAGGGACCTGCCGGAGGCCCCAATCCACGCACAGCTCAAGGGGGGGGGGTAAAAAATACACCGACTTATCCCAATTTATGGAGGCTTCCGATAGTAAACAATAATTATCTATTACACTACGAAGTTCGGTGAGACAACTAGGTGTGTTCCTACAGGCCACAGTAAGATCATCTGCGATGGCTCCCCCCTTCCATTGAAAAAATGGTGATAGACAGAGGCCCTCTATACGGGGATTGTTCCTCATATTATCCAGCAAAGTTTCCAGCTCGATTACAAAGATAAGAGGGGCTAAGGGGCAGCCCTGGCGCAGTGAACGAGTCAGAGATAACTCATTTGATTGTTTACCATTAACCAGCACTCTGGCCGTTGCCTTGGCATACATTGCATTAGTCCATTTTCGAAATTGCGGACCGAAACCCAACTTAATTAGGGAGGTATTGACGAAGGCCAATCCTACTTTATCGTACGCTTTTTCCATATCCAGAAGTAGGATGGCTACCTTACGTTTTTCCTGCCCAATTATTTCTAAGGCCTGAACCGTCGCCAATATGTTGTCAAAAATAAATCGGCCTTTGACGAAGGCTCCTTGTTCTAGTCCAATCAGTTGAGGGAGGATCGTCGTCAATCTCAGTGCCAGCACTTTCCCCAGTAGCTTGTAAGAAACGTTAAGTACAGAGATCGGACGCCGGTTTCTGATTTCCCTTTTGTCCCCCTTTTTATATAAGAGGGAGATCATTCCCTGGACCATTCCTTTTGGGAGGGTTCCAGAAGACAAGGCTTCGTTAAATATATAAGTAAAGAATTGACCGAAAGCCCAAGCGAACAGGAAGAACTTTATACGGAGTCCATCAGGCCCTAGGCATTTGCCCTTGGCCATCTGACATGCAGCCTGAAAAACTTCCTCCTTGGTGATCGGTGCATCTAGTTTTAGACTAGCCTGCCTAGGGATACTACGGACTAATCTATTCCAAAAGTTCGAGTGATACGATAAATCAGAATCAAAATTATCGAACGGTCTTCTAGTAGAGACTATGTCTTGGAAATATTTCATCGCATAAGAGCAGAGGTCTTGAGTGTCCGTCGCCACAAGGGCAAACAGGTCAAAGGGATGCTAGAGTTCTCTCATAATTGGTTTTGCTTTGCGTAGAATAAGCACCCTAAAAGTCTTTTTAGTTATGCGGTCAAAACCGCAGATTCCCCTGATTTTTAGCCAGTCAAGCCAATCTGCTTGTTTTTGAATTTCCATTGCTCTCAACTCTTCCAAGGCTTTCTTCCTTTCTCCACCCCAGTAGTACTCCTCAAATGGGTCTATACCCATTTTCCTTTCCGCTAGTTCTATTGTCTGGGTGAGCTGTTTTTCTTTCCAGTTGCGTGCTGCTGCTTTTATTCTAGAGAACTCAATCATTGCAGACTGGAGGATGCTCAGGCCCACGTCCACCCAGTCTTCATAATCAGAGAAAAGATCCTTTGCTAGGTCCCAGGCTTTCATCTGATCCCCAACCTATTGTGGTATCCCCGGGTCTTTTAATAACTTGGTATTTAGTCTGAATGGGGGCTTGTGTTGAGCCAATATTTCCTTAGATAGCACCTCCATCCAAACTGGGTAATGGTCTGACATAGATTTAGTTCCCCTGACTGACCACATGCACCTTTCCCATGGGTCCCCCCGAGCCAAAAAAAAGTTGAGCCTTCTTTTGGGTTGAGGAGCACGGGGCGCCGGGCGTGGGCCAAACCAAGTAAAACCCGGGGAGTCTGGGTTGAGGATTCTGAATACGTCATTCAAAGTCTAAGATTCCATGAAGGAGCTAAGAAGCAGGGTGTCTGTGCGAATTGCGGAGATATTCGGTGAGTCGAGCCCAGGGTTGAGTACATAGTTTCAGTCTCCTACAACAATGAGATTCACTGTGTCTGGTAAAAATTTAGGTAACTAAGCAAAAAAAATTATTCTAGCAGAGTAGTCCACGGGGGCATATACGGACGTAACCGCTCAGTCTTCATCTGCTACTCCCAATTTTACCCAAGCCTAATGGCCTTCATTGTCAGTACAACTGTCGATGATCTCGACCTCCAGGTTCTTGTCCAAAAATATCGCCACTCCTCCTTTGGTCCCATCTGCCGGGGACCACAGTTGGGGGCCAGGCCAGCAGTTCAGAATGTCTGTCATTTTATCCTCATTAATTTTTGTTTCTTGTAAGCAGATTATTTGTATTTGTTCTGAATGTGCCCAGTCCGCTAGTCTTCGTCTCTTAAAGGTGTTGTTTTGGTCTCCCAATCCTTGTACGTTCCAGGTGGCAATTATGATTTTATTGGGTAGAACCATAATTGCCACTTGGGCCTGTAGAGGTTTGGATAAGGCCTGGGATTTCCTCCGTGGTATGGGTCACTGGTTGAGCCTGTGTATTCTCCTTTCCCTCAAAGAACAAAATTTTGCTTTTCCTCCTCTTCTAGAGCGATCTCGCAAATGACTCTGCAAGAATCAACCCTTGGTTGTCCGATTGGACAAGCCAATCTGCCACTACCCCTGCTGTAAGATTGGACACTAATTTGATGTTGGGTAGGTCGGCCGAAGAGGGAGAGGTCAGATATGCCAGCTCCAGCCAATGAATACACAGCTCATCCCACTGCTGCTTATTTTCTAATATGTGAGATAACTTAAAAAAACCTATGAAGAGGCAGAGACTTCCACCCTCTGGGTTATCCACCACGTGGCGAGCAATTTTTGGCTCAGGGAGTAGTGACACCTCTCCCATGGACTGCAGTATTTGGAGTTTGATCAGGTTGCATGCAAGCACTGGGGATGGGCAGGAAGCACTCTTCAATAAAACAGTAGGGATAGACAGAGCTTCATCCTTTCCCTGTATAGTAAGAAATCTGGGGTTCGTACCATCGTGGGTGCAGATTATGGGGACCAGATAGTCAAAGAGTGGTCCCGCCTTATTTTATGATCTTTTGATGGTGCGCATCGGGGCCGCCATTGCCAAACATCTTCGTGCTGTTTTCGTGGCCAACGCCCTTCCCCTTTTCTTGGGCGAGCTGCGTACTATATCATTAGAGGGGGCACCCCACTCTTCTTCTTTCGTCCCTCTTGCTTGTGATTTCAGTACCTCCAAACGAGGTCTTTTTATCGAAGAGCAAGGAGCAAGGGGTCGGGCCAGTGAGGCATCCCGTGAAAAACCTGAGCTGCTTTTTCCTTTCTCTGGGGTCGAGAAGAGACATGGGGGGATAATATCTTCTCCTGTGCTGTCTCTTTCAACTACTTCTTCAGAGTGGTCCGTTAGGCCATCTGTGGGAGAAAAGAACTCTGGTTCCAGCTCGTGTTCCCGTTCCTGATCCAATCTTTCTTCTATCTCACCATTTAAAGAGGACGGACTGGTCCTTAAGATGATGGGAAGAAGGGTCGCATCACCTTCTCTAGAGAGTGGGTGGGCCTTGAAACCTGCAAACTCGTCATGGTCGACATCTAGGCCTGGATCCTTGAACAGGGCGTTTTCCCGCCACTGGGCCATACTATTCTTGCCCATTTGGAACAGCGTGGAGACTGCTTCAGCTGTAGCCGTAGAAGATCGGTGTTCCCCACGTTGATCCTTTTTGGGATTTCCGTGGGGTTCTGTTGTTGTAGCGGTGAAGGAGAGAACTGTCGGAGTTTTGTCTTGGTTCTGACCTTCTGACATGTCAGCCTTTCCTTTCGGGTCATTGGCCTCGTTCTGCCGTTCCTGCCCTTCCCCTTGTCCCTCTACCATTCTCTCATTCTGGGGGTCCTTCTCTTTGGGAGTAGGTTCCTCTTCAATGCTTCGTTCCATCTCAACCTCCCCCTTCTCCGCTATGTCCTTCTCCTTCTCCACATACTGGCTCTTTGTGACCTCCGTCTGTTCACCTGTTGTTTCTTCTGCAGCTTTATCTTGGTTTGCATCCTTTTCAGTCATATCGATATCCTGACTGCCACACGTGGTTAACGGGGACCCCCCAGTTTCAGCTCCTGGGTAACAGGTCCAAAACTGAAATTAGGCTTTGGGGKTGAAATTTTATGTTTTTTTGGTTTTTTTTTTTTGCCTGTTTTTGTCTTACTTTAAGGTTGTTGTGTACCAAATTTGGTCTCATTTGAAGCATTGGAATTTCCTCTTATAAGACCATTTCCAAAAACGCTGCAAATTCTGAAAATTCGCTGAATCCAAAATGTCATTCAAGTGCTCTTTTGCCTTATTGTTTCACCCTGTTTTTATTTTATTTTTTCGTTTTTTTTCTAATGGTTTGTTAATATGGTGTGCACTCTATGGAATGATCTCCCCCCCAGTGGCCCGTCAGGAGCTGCTGGATTTGGTTTACGTTTCTTCCTGTAAATCTTACCGCGTTTATTCTTCCCCACCGCTTTCAAGCCACCTTTCTTTGGGTCTTGTTTGCGTGCGGCTGGAGGGAAAGGATTAGGGTCCGCCTCCTTCTCCCTCATCACTCCTTTTTTTCCCGCGTCTTCCCCCTCATTCACGGGCTCCGCCTGATCCTTCAATACTTGCTGACTCGTGACCGACTTTGGGTCCAGTCCCGCAGCGGGATCCGACCCATCCTTCCCTTCCGTCCCCTTCTTTCCCTCCTCACCGGACACCGATCCCTCATTGTTTCCGGATCCCTCTCCATCCTTCGGATTTTCTTTCTGTACTGGTTTTTCCTTCTGGTCGGTCCCATCTTTAGAGCCTGATCCATCCCTCGGGTTAGACGGGTCCTTCGAGCCTGACGGGCATGTCCCATCGTTGGTTTTTTCCGCAGGGTTGCTTGGCTCCTTTTGTGCTTGTTTCGAGGGGCAAGACTCATCTTCCTCGGTGTGGAAGTGTTGGCAACAAGCATTGCACCAAGGAGTCTGAGCATGGACAACTTCAATTTCTACATAGCCCCCCTTCTTTAGGTCTATGACCAGGTACGGCTTATACCGTACTCGAGCAGAAGGGTCCAGGTCAAACCGGATGTTTACCAATTCCGGTGATGACTTCTCTGAGAATGTCTGATGCTTTTTTATTATATTCATAAAGGCCTTCGTGACAACTGAAGATAAATACGGTAGTGCGGCCACGAGAATAAACTTGCATCTAATCCAAAAAAAATTATAACCGAGTGCTTCTCGTCACTCAAAGAGTTCTTGCTCATTCATCCAGGGACGAAATGAAACATGAAATTCTTTATTCTCGAGGACAATTTTGTCCTCTTTCTTTTCCAACATCCAGGTGGCAATCTCCTTTGCAGAAGCAACATACGTAATGAGGTTGTGACCTTCGTTATGGAATACTCCCCTTTTAGGGGGGGCCTGAATTGCTCCACTTTTAGCCCAGCCGTTTTCGTACATTCGAATTAATCTGATTTTGACTTTAACGGGAAGGGACTTGGAGTCTTTTCCGAAGAAAACCGAAACCGCATTCTCTTGCAGCCATTCTTCTTGGATTGCGTAGAATTCGGGATTGACTACAACTTTCGCGTAGTCTTCTCCGATTTCCACAATCTCCGGGGAGAGGTCATCCTGAAGGATGTCTTCGTAGTAGCACTCCGAGAAGATGGTTTTTACTCTGTCTTTTTCTACCTCTGACAGGGGGTCGGAAGGCGGAGCAGAGGGACCGGGTTCATTTGAGTCCCCCATCCTTCACGTTGTTCAAACAAGAGACATTGAAAGGCCAACGCAACGAAAGCCAGACAATAGAGTTTAAATAAAACAAGCGATGTATATTTAACTCCTATAACTCTATATATAATCTAGGGTCAATTCCTATACTATGCCTCCATAAATAAGGGTAGGGTTAAGGAATTTTTACCCACGCCCCCAGGACCTTTTGGATGGATGGAAGCGGAGCATCGGCAGAAATACCCTCATACAAGGGAACGTCCTCCTTGTCTTGATATCAACAGTAATCACCCCTGAGCTCTGCCGGGTCCCCTTTCGTCGCTTTGTTTCTTCTGCAGATTCCCTCATGTCCTCGTCCAGACGAGCGGGTCCCAAGTCCCGCTTACCCTGATTCTTCATTTCTGGCCTTTGACCTTCGTAATCTACGGTCCGAAACTGAGGATTCGGGTGCGCGGGACCTGGCCCCGGGGTTTTGTCAGCCACGGGACTCCAGGTAGAAGGGTCTTCAGGGCATATTCAAGTCATATTCACAGTAGGACTTTTCACCAAGCTCTGGACGTGATTATGGTCAGATTCATCCAGGACGGGCCGTAAGTGCAGTCAGATACATCGAGAAAAGTCCTAGTGCCCTCAAAGACTCATAATAGGACTTCTTTTGCTTATTCCTGGTCACAGTAAGATTTCTTTTACTTACCTCTGGACGTAATTCCCGTCATATAATCGATGCAGAGGCGGAGAGTTCCATCCGCTTTGCGAGCAAAGAGAACAGGTGCACCCCAAGGGGAGTTACTAGGTTTAATGAAACCAAGTCGAAGGAGCTCCTCAAGCTGACGCTTGAGTTCCGTCGCCTCTGGAATCAAGAGTCGGTATGGTGCCTGATGGTGAACACGATAGTCAGGCACGAGCTGGATAGAATGCTCGACACCGCGCATCGGGGGAATCCCGCTGTATGAGAAATACGGGGGGAAGACGTCGCGGTACTCCCGAATCAGGTCGTGAATGACGGGCTCTAAGTCAGTCGTGAACCGCATGAGTTCCTCAACGTTTGCGTTAGCACAAGACGTATGGGTGGACTCAGCTGTGGACGGCGTAGGAACCTGGGATGTCGAGGGGGTATCCGCAGGTTGCGGGGTGGATGTAGAGATGGGAGCCGCGAAGATGGAGGAAGGGTCAGGGGGATCGGGCTCCAGTGAGATGAGCTCAACCTCGGGACASAGTGGATCGTAGCGAAGAAGATCCATGACGTTCACTGAGTAGAGCGTGACGTCCTCCTGTCGGATGAAGTGAGCAAACTGACGGGGAGAAGTGAAGGAGATGTCTGGGTGGGACCCAGAAGAACGAGGGTCCTGGGGAGGTAGGTTTGGAGGGGTGTCGCCCGTGGTTCCAATGAAGGGGACTCGATGGGTTTGACCACACTTCATTTTGAGAATGAGTGTCTCAAACGCCCATTCGGCCTCTGTGCTACGGAACCGGCGAGACCAGGGAGTGCCAAGGATAAAGACGTACCCAGTCTCCAGCACGTCGAAGTAGGCGGAGGAATGGTACCGCCGAGGCGCCTGGGTACTATCCGGTGGCTGGAGGGTGAGGGAGAAGTGGAGGTCGGGAACCGTCTGATCGAAGAAGCGCTGCGTCTTGTTATCTCCGAGGGTAACGGAGATATGAGAGCGAGACCCAGAGGTAGCTAGGCGAGCTTCCTCAACCACTCGAGGGTGAACGAAATCTCCCTGCGAGCCAGAGTCCCATAAAGCGCGGTACACCCTCGTAGATGTCCCTAGGCGAAKAGGGATGATGGGTGGGGTGCGATCAGGGTCAGAGAGCAAGGCGAGAAGACGACGCAGGACGTTGATGTGTCTCGTGAGGCGCTCCTGACGAGCCTGCAGAATGCTCAAGTCCACGAGAGATGACACAACTTCATCGCGAGTCGCCAGCTGAGCGCCACAACGGGCTGTGTGAATGGCGCGACGCGTCGGAAGTCTCAAGCGAGAAGCGCTAGATGCGGCAGTCTGCTGGGAGGTAGACGGTACCTCGATAGACGATGGGGCGGAGAGAACTGCGTCTATCGTGTCCTGAGGGTCCTCTGGTGGGATAGCCAAAGGGGCAAACCGCGACTCGGTGGTCGGAAAGCCGGCTACGTGCGAGGCCTCAGGGGCACAGTGCACCGTGGCTAGGTGGATGGGGTTGGCCGGGCGGGGCCGGGGGGGGACTGAGATCGACGCTGACGAGAGATGTCAGCGTGGTGTCGATCGAGGGCGGTATGGTATGGACACCGTGAGGAGGTGTGTCCATCTAGGCGGCAACGATGCCAGCCGCGCCGGGCCTCGAGGGCGGCACGCTCCTCAGGGGATAGAGCTCCGCGAGGAGGGACATAACCCTGCGGGAGGTCTATCTGAGGAACCGTGGGTGTGCGGGCGCCAGCCTGTGCAACCCGGCTACGAGCATGACCCATGGCAGATATGGCCATCAGCAAGCGCTCGGCCACCGGAACAGTGTCGTCATCCAAGTGATACTAGATGACGTCTTGTAGCTCGATGTCCTCCGGGGCGTCCCCAAGGGTAGGGTCAAACTCGGCTGAGGCGTCCTCGCCGTACTCCAGAGAACTGTAGCGCTGAGAGAATGACGCTCCAGGGCGGGTCGGGCGACGAAAACGACCAGCAAACGAGGAGCGACCTTGGGTGGTACCCCGAGACTGAGAGGTGGCGGCTGGCCGCGAAGAGGATGGGGCGACGGAGAAGCGACTGCACATCCTCTGGTACTGACGCGCAGCCTCGTATGCCTGCTCCGCGGAAGAGAATGATCGCTTCCATAGCTTCAGGCGATAGTCAGTCGGCAGGCTGACAAGGAACCGGTCGGTGAGTGTGACCTCCGGTAGGAACGTCTCGTCACAAACAAGGCGAGCGTCCTGAAACACCCGGATGTGACGTTCCAGGTCGGCCGGTACAGAGGACCCGGACCATCTGGTCTGGGTGACGCGGTCTAAGGCGTCGGTGGCGTCATGACGAGCGCCGAAACGGTCCTGAAGGAAGGCCGCGAAGTTGGCCAGAGTGGGGACCTCACCCACGCGGAGGCGCTGGGTATAATGATCCTCCCACGCAGTGGAAGGGCTACCTCGCAATTTGGTTGCGAGCACATCACACCACAACTCCTGACGGGTGGTCGTCATAGAGAGCGTGTGCGTTGCTATCTGCAACCAGCGAGAGACACGGGTTGTGCCATCATATGTCCGTGGTGCGCACAGGAGGATGTCCATTGTGCTGATGGCAGGGGGAGAGAGATCGAGGCGAGTGCACTGCGGCAGCGTAAGTCGAGGTCGCTACAGGGGCAGAGGTGGGGGAAGGCTGTGGGCCGTGGCCGCTAGCGGATGGACCAGCAGACGAGGAGGCAACGGCCGCGGGCAGCTGTCCCGGAATAGCCAAGTAGGAGGGAAGAGGCTGAGGAGCAGGTCGAGGGAAACGAGCCTGCATCATGGGGACCGAAGGGGTGGTAGAGGAAGAAGGGTGGGCAGCCTGTGATGGGTGAGGCTGTCTCAGAGCGAGAATCTCCGCCTGAGTCTGCGCAATGGTGGCCTGTAAAGTGGCCACGCGCTGGGTGCGCGTGGTCGGAGGTGGAGGGGGCGAAGCGGGTCTTCCAGTGGGAGGAGGAATCCCAGCCTGGGCGGTACCCTGCTGTGGGGGTGGGGGGACAAAGGCGGGAAAAAGAGAGCGGAGCCGTATTGCCGCGACCGGTGCGGGAAGCTGGGAAGCAACACCGGTGTGGGTCGATGAAACTGCTGGGCCTCGAGGCGGTACCTGGACCGCAGCACCTAAGGCAGTAGTAGAGACGGTAGGGGCGGCCGTGGCTGGGAGAACTGCCGCAACAGATGGGGTGGTCTGAGCGGCAACAGCACTCGCCACTACTGCGGGGGAGTGTTGGGCCTGGCCCGTAGAGGAGGGGAAACCACGATGTCTCCGACTTTGGAGTCGTGGGGAGTCGGACTCGGAGCTGGTAGGGAATGGGGTATGGGAGCGGTGGGGAGAGTGATGAGGAGAGCCCTTGAGGCGGTTGGCGTCAAGGGCAAGCGCATTGATTTGCGCTTGCAACGGTCCAAGCGTACTAAGTTGCGTCTGAATCGCTACGAGGGTGGCATGAAGGTCCATCGTGTCCGCATGGGCCTGACCCTGACCCGCTGGCTGAACGCTCACCTGGGAGGTGGACGGCACCGCAGTGATCTCCTCAAAGGAACTCCCTTCCATGGTCGGAAGGGAAAGGGAGGTAGAGCTCACGGGGGTGTGTGGGGAGAGGGGCCCGCCGATAAGAGGAAGGCGACCGCGGGAGCGGAGTGAGTATGTGTGAGTCGGCTCACCCCGGATTTGGCGGGTCGCGCATGAGAAGAACGCGCCAAATCGCTCGAGGGTGGAGGAGTCGTTCGGGTCCAGGATGCCCAACGGGAGGAGGCGGGAGAGTAGGGGGTTTAGAAGAACCCTAAACCCTAGAAAACCCCTAAGAAAACCCTAACCGGAGTTTAAGTGGTTAGGGGAGGGTAGCGGCGACCTAATCAAGAAAAATATAATATGGAAGGGGGCGGGGGGGGGAAGAAAATAGAATAAACAATAAAATTTCGAGATAAAAATAAAATAAAAGAGTAAATAAAAATAAATAAATAAAAAAAATGTAAAGAGTAAGGAGAGAGAGAATATTTATTTTTTTGGAATTTTCGGCAGCATTTTCCCACCCCGCATGGGGTCAAAAATGTGCCAAGAGGAAGGAAAGTACAAGAGGAACACACTAACTTTCAAAATGCCGCAAATTAAAATTTTCAGAAAAATAAATAAGTAAATAAATAAATAAATAAGGAGGTGGAGGAGAGTGAAGAGAAGCTAAGTTTTAGAATTTTTCAAAAATTTCGGCAGCATTTCGTTACCCCTATGGGGTCGAAGTGTGCCGTGAAGAAGAAAGAAAAATAAGAAGATTATGCCAGCACTTCGCTACCCCCAAGGGGTGAAAATGTGTTGAAAAAGACTAAGTATGAAGAAAACAGAAAATTTCGGCAGCACTTCGTTACCCCCACGAGGTCAAAATGTGTACCGAAAGCAAGAATGGCTAAGTCCTAATCAGATGTTAGGGTGCCGCAGAACATTTCGAATTTTCAGAATAAATAAATAAATAAATAATAAATCAAAAAATAAGAAAAGATGTAGGAGATAAGATGATTCAGATTTTTGGAGAAAAAGAGAAAATTTAAATAAAAAAGAAAGAGAAAAAAAGAAAAAAAGAAAAAAAAATCGAAGCGGGGGGGAGGGGATGAAAAAGTGATAAAAAAAAAGAGAAAAATAGGTGGGAAAAAAAAAAGATTGAAGTGGTAGGTGAGGGAGATGATGGGGTTGTAGTTGGGGGAAGAAAGGAGGAGAGGAGGGTAAAAGAATGAGAGAGAAAGCTATGGAAAAGGTGAAGAAAAKAGTGAGAGATTAGTAAAAGAAGGTGAGTGGAGAGAGAGGAGAGAAAAAGATGGTGGGAGATGAGTGAAGAGGGAAGGGTATGAGAGATTAAGGGGAAGGAGAGGAGAGAAGTAGGGAAAAGAAGCAAGGAGAGTGAGGTTGGGAGAGGAGAGAGTAAAAATATGGTAGTGGATGGAGAAAGAGTGAAGGGGATGAGAGATTAGTGGGGAGAAGAGAAAAATGAGAAAAGTGGAAAGAGGAGTGAGAAAAGGTGATGGATGAGTGGTGGTGAGAGAAAAAGAAGGTCAGATGATGAAGAGGAGAGAGGGAAAAGGGAGTGGGAGAGTGGATTAGGGATGAGAGAGGTGATACCCAGCTCTTGGGTAACCAAGAGCATACAACTTCACCAAGATCCACAAG